GCTTCCCAAGTGATTCAAAGCATCAACAACAACTGTCCGCTACCATCTAGGATATTTCATAGCAGAAAAATGGTTCTGAACAAGATGCATTAATATTTTGCCCAGGACACAGGAGAACAACATATTTTCCTTCTTTATGGACTTGGTGGGGCCGGAAAAACCCAGATTGCCCTGAAATATATTGAGGAGTCGGCATCTCAGTGAGCTGGCCCTACATATGTAGCAGGCGTAATGCTGACCTGTTCACCTAGTTTCTCGGACATTATGCGCATTGATACCAGCACACAGCAAACGATTGATGCCGGTCTCAAGCATATAGCCGTGATGAAGACAGTTGGGAACGGCCCACAAGATGGCCTCCAATGGCTCAACAGGGCACAGGCTCCGTGGATGCTGTTACCTGACAATGCCGATGATCCCAAAATCAATATGAACAGTTTTCTCCCTCAATGCAAGCATGGAAATATTGTTATCACATCTCGAAATTATGAACTGCACATTTATGCAGGGTCAACGTCCTCTGTGTCTGATATGGAAGAATCAGATGCAGTTGAGCTGTTGTTGAAAAGCGCTCGTGTGGAGGCCACACCTGGAAAGCAAGAACTGGCAGTCGAGATTGTGAAGGTTAGCTTTTTCATCCAATTGCCATGACAAGACTGACTTCCCATATTTGCCAGACCCTATGCTATTTCCCCCTCGCTATTATTCAGGCAGGGGCATTCATTGCTAAATCTGTGCCCATGGACCTCTACTTGGAAATCTATGCACGTAATCGGGCCCAACTACTCAGCGAAAGGCCTTCCCAGTCCCATGATGATTATGCTTGGACGGTGTATACCACATGGCAGATCAGCTTTAAACAGCTCAGCGAGGGTCCCAAAGCACTTCTGCAGCTCTGCTCCTTCCTGCATCATCAAGGAATCTCCGAGAAAATATTCAGGGATGCTTGGAGATTTCAAGTTCTAGTTGTGCATAATTCACCCGAGCAAGACAAGAAAGGGGTTCTTCCTTCAACCCCTCCACTTTCACTGCGTTCCGTAGGTCCGTAGGCACAGGGTCTGCCTACGCGCGTAGGCAGATGTAGGCAGACCTGGGAGTAGACCGAGTCTGCCGACATCGGTGTACTACCTGTGAATCTTGACCCACTCACTTGGCGTGTGTTACTGGTCATTCCCGGTGCCACATTGAAGTCGGTTGGAGGTTGAAAGCCTGTGGGAACAGCCCTGCCATTATTTGATGGCGACACAGCCACATTGGGCAGAGGCTTTTCTGCAGCTTTAGTTTCTACAGCGGGCCCCAATCCCAGTCGGTACAAAGGTATCTTGGAACATAATAGACCACCCCAAGCTAACCATATCTTCCCAATTTTTTGTCTCACTCAGAGTAGGGAGTAACAGTGATTAAATTACGAGGAAATACTGGTTTTGCACGCAGTGTCAATAGAGAAAATTGTAGCCAGGAGCACCACTCCACTTGAATGCCAGCACCACTCGCATGGCACAGCACGAATCCGTCCCAGTATCTGTGTTGGACGTCTACATGATGTTCTGTAAACACATGCAAGGAGAATATACCCAAACCTGGCCAGCGCACCTTTCGAGTCCCACACCCCAACGACAGCCTCATCCCAGCCGCCGGACATCGGGGTTCACAATTTCATCAGCCTTTAGGAAGCCATGACCTGTCGCAGAGTGGCACGGCCGTCACGACTCGCGACAGTGGTCGTGAAGGCTCAAGGTCTTGTTTGAAAGGTGGGGATGCTGAGCGGCAGCATGTGGGGCCATCGTGAGCGTGCACTGGCCCGAGATGGTAGAGCAGAAAAGCGGGCCCAGGGGATGCAGGAGAAAGCGGGGAGAAAGCATGAAGAGTCGTCGCTGGCAGCAGCATGGCTCAGGGTCGACGGGAGAAGCCCTCACGGCGGGTTGATGGAATTGAGTTAATTATAGGTTTTGATAACGCATTATACGCAGTGGAACTGTTGCAGCAGAGCTCAGGGGGAGAGCTAGGCATGGAAGCACGGGTAGACCGACTCGGTCTACTTGGAGTAGACTGATGTAGGCGGACAGTAGGCCACTGTAGACCCAATTTGGCCTACGTAACGTCGGCAGACCCTGCCTACTGGGGTCGGCCGACGTAGACCGATGTAAACCAATGTAAACAGAGGTTGCCTACTGGGGCTCGGAACGCAGTGTTTTTCGCAAACTTCGTGGAAAGAGTCATTCGGCCAAAAGCTACCCACATGGGAAGGAGTTGCAGCAGTTATTTGTATTCATTGCACGGCTTCTGGGGCCCACCGGTGTCTGGGATTCCTTTCACTTCATGGAGCTTACGGATGAGCTTCGTTCATATTCTTTGATCAACCTGAACATAGAAACTGGAATTTTCTCAATTCATCCACTTGTGCATAGCTGGAGCCAAACCACATTGGTAGATCCAGAAGTGTATCATGCTGCTGTAGTTTCTCTAGTAGGAATGTCGATTGCAAGCACACCAAATGAAGATTTGACACTGGACAGTCTATTGTTATTACCCCATGTTGAGTCACTACTGCAGGGTCGAACCCATGTTATGCCTGACTTTGGCCTGCAATTCGGGATTATATACCAGTCATCGGCACAGCCAAAGAAAGCACGAGATCTCTATATCGAGACCCTGGAAAATCAAAGAAAAGTTTTGGGAGATGATCATCCAATAACATTCATAACTATGCACAATCTAGCGTGGGTGTACCATGAGCTAGGCCAGTGGGATGAGGCCAAAACTCTGGAAGTCGTCACTCTTGAGAAGCGAAAGAAAGTTCTTGGTGACAATGATCCATATACTCTGGGTACAATGGGGCAGCTGGCAGCAACATATAACAGCCTCAACATATAACAGCCTTGGCCAATGGAAGGAGGCCAAGGAGCTTGACCTTATCGTCCTAGAGAAAGAAAGAAAGATTTTTGGAGAGGACCACCCTCAAACACTCCGGACCATGACAAATCTGGCAGTCATATATGGATGGTTAGGCCAATTGAAAGAAGCAGAGGAGCTTGAAGTTGTGGTCCTTGAGAAGCGAAAGAGAATTCGGGGTGAGAACAACCCAGACACACTCCGGACCATGGGCAACCTAGCATCAACATACAGAAGGATGGGCCAGTTGGAAAAGGCAGAGCAGCCTGCATCTATCACCCTTGAGAAACAAAAAGAAGTTTGCGGGACAGACCATCCAGAAACACTGTTGACCATGCACAATCTGGCATGGTCATATATTGAGCTTGGCCAGATTGACAAGGGAGAGGAGCTTCAACTTTTTACCCTTGAAAAGCGAAAGAAAGTTCTTGGTGAAGACCGTCCAGATACCGTGTCAACCATGCACAATCTGACCCTGACATACTTTGTGCTTGACCAGTTCGAACAAGCAGAGTCGTTGGGAGTTGTCACACTTGAGAAAGAAAAGAAAATTTGGGGTGAAGACCGGCCAATGACACTCTGGACTATGCACAATTTGGCATGGACATATGTTCAGCTTGGCCAGTTGGACCAGGGAATGGATCTTGGAGTTCTCACCCTTGAGTGGCAGAAGAAAGTTCTTGGTGAAGACCATCCAGATACCCTGTCAACCATGCACAATTTGGTGTTAACTTATCTTCAGCTGGATCAGGCAGAACAGCTTGGAGTTGTCACTCTTGAGAAGCGGGAAAAAATTCTTGGTGAAGTTCATTCAGATACCTTGTCGAAAATGGCAGATTTGGCATTGATATACATGCGGCTTGGCCAGTTTCACAAGGCAGAACAGCTTGGAGTTGTCACTGTTGAAAAGAGGACAAAACTCCTCGGTGAAGATGATCCAGACACCTTGTCAAATATGGGTGATCTGGCATTGGCCTATTTAGAGCTTGGCCAGTTGGACCAAGCAAAGGAGCTTGGAATTGCTACCCTTGATAAGCAGAAAAAGATTCTCGAAGAAAATCATCCAGATATCTTGTTAACTATGCACAATCTGTCATTAATCTACCATCAGCTTGGTCTGTTTGACAAAGCAGAGGAGCTGGGAGCTGTGACCCTGGAGAAGGAAAAGGAGGTTCTTGGCGAAGAGCATCCGAATACTATAGCCTCCATGCAGAACTTGGAAGAAACAATCAAAAGCTTGGCAAGTTGGAAAAGACAGAGTCCTTGAGGGTTTGTATCAAGCAGATTGAAGGGGACAGAGTGATAGTTTAAGTTTCTGGAGTTCTGTTCAGTTATATGTGCTTGCTGCTTTGGTAATCACCATCATGTCATGCTATGTACTCTTTGGTTGAAGTGTCTGTCTACGAGAGACTAATTCGTGTTGGATTTAGAGCCCAGGGACGAAGCGGAGCTCAGTGACCCTCTGCAAAAACGTGAGGGTCTCATGGAAATTGCTACCGTACTTATACAAAAAGACGGAGTCGCGCGTACAAAAGGAGGTAAGTACCAGAACAGAAAACCAGCGTGCATGAGAGTATATAAGAGTCACAATGAAGGGTCCATGAGGAAGAGCAGTGTAAATAAGATGGGATGAGTCCGTGGTGAATCGTATCGCGAGGAATAAGAGTCGGAGTGGTCGGCCGGGAACAATCTCCGTTGATGCACCCGCGGCAGTGCAACAGTGCATTGGTTGATATTCCAACAATTCCTACAAACCTGGGACCAATTGAACTTGTACTCAAGCACACATAAGTGGTCTGATGCACCCACCGCTGATGTCGTGTACCGGAACTGAATAACTAACATTGTGCCTGACAGACCTATTTTACTCCTAGTAGACTGTAAATGCCTCTTCGCTAGTAGAGCTGTCAGATTGTGTCCCTGCGTAGGTTGAGTTGACAGATTTGGTGACTGGGATATCTGCTGGGAACTTTACCTCTATTGTTAGAAATGCTGGTAAGACTTAGTCCGTATCGCAAGAAAAGATAACAAAACATCCACCGATCAATGTTCTAGGAAGGAAGCAAACATATTTACGAAGCAAAAAAAAAACAGTATCAATAATAAAATGCTTTGGGAGGGAATCGAACCCCCGGCGGGTCGAGGTTACGTAACTTCGATGGCAACGACCCAGGTTACCACTACCCCAATAAATTGAAACGAAAAAAAAAAGTGATTCACATGAACAGTTCAATATTAACCGTAACGGCGAAAGCACAAAAAATACAAAGGAGAAAGACTATAGAGCGTGATGGTGAGCCACCGAAATGAGTGGATTGCGGGCGGAAGGAAAAGATGCGGACTACAAGAAAAGGCAACCAAAAGATAACACTGCGCCGAGGGGGAGTCGAACCCCCGGCGGGTCGAGTCACTAGACTCTTGGCAACGACCCAGGTTACCGCTACCCCATCGGCGCCACGGGACTGTGTGGAGATCATGTCGTAGGATAGTCGTTACTCGCGCGCAGTCACGTTTGAAAAAAAAGCCAACGAAGCTCGAGTGGGCGCAAGCAAAGAGATGAAGGGGGCGGGGTGCAATCGGTGAAGTTGACGGTGAGTGGATGCGATCGGGCAGTGATCCGGGGCGTCGCTTCATCTCACTAACATCGCTCGCCCACTTCGTGGGCTGTTCCAGGCCCTCGCTTATGCTCGGGGCGCACCCCGTCCTCGCTAACGCTCGGAGGTGCGAAGGGAAAAAAAAAAAAAAAATTCCGCGGAGCGAACCAGGTTACCACTACCCCACCAAAGCTGTAGTTGTCGTCGTTCTTCAACAATTAGGGGGTTAGTTTGAGCGCCAAGGTGTTGACTTAGTTCAGGGGCAGGGGAAGGAGCTCGGAGGATTCGGCGATGCCAGAAAGATCATGGATCCGACGAACACCAGTTATGTAATCTAATTTTCTCGTAACATGGAGACTGGTTATTAACTCTAGTCAAGTTTCGTCTCGTTGGCATAGCAGCATGGAATAAATCCTACTTCTGCTGAGGCTCTAGGTTCATTGGCCGTCGATAGTGTATCTCCGTGCTAAATTGAGCTTCGTCCTGATCCCTCGCATCTGCCTGGCAAGTCAGGGCATAATCCCGGTCACCACTCGACACGTGCGTTTGACCAGAGAAGCGATGATTCGGATTCCGGAATTCTCCTTGGGTCTTTGACAAAGCAGGGTCTAGAAGAGGCCCGATGGATTCGCTGTTTTATTTTTTGCATAGGGCCCAAATGTAGGTGGACGCTGGAGCGCAGATATCAAGGTTCTAGAAGAGGCTTAATGGATTCACGCTGTTTTATTTTTGCCTAGGGACGAAATCTGGTTGGACAGATATCAAGGGTCTAGAAGAGTCTCAATGGATTCGCTCTGTTTTATTTTTGCATGCATGGGGCCCAAATCTACTGGACAGCGCAGATAGAGGAGGGACGTTGGATACAACTCATAATCAATATTGTCCTTCTGGGGTTGATTGGGGATTCGCAGAATTCAGTGCAAACAAAATCCGGATACGAAGACCGTTGCACTGGAGCTTTATTCCTTCTGCGCGGATTCCGAATTTGGGTATTGGAAAGGTGCCGCGCCGGAGGCAAGTTACTTGCCCCTGGACCTAATCTGAGATTCTGCTATTGAATGAACTTTGACAGGGATCGATTCGGCGAGAAGAGGTGTAAGTTGACGCGTGCGGTGGTGTTGTCTCCATCTGCGAGCCGACGACGTTCTCTGAGGATTTTGAACTCCCGGAGATATTCAAGGTAAATTTAAACGTTGTCAACCGGCTAAAACAGTCCATCTCCGCTTCGAGTTCATGATTATTTCTGGAGGCGAAGTTGACTAGAACCCTTGGCGGAAAATAAGGTTCAACCCGACATGTGTCCGGATCACTGCTGTAGAACATGGAGATCCAAGAGCTCCCGATCGGCGATAAGTTGTCGAGTTCCTGGCGATCTGCCCCAAAAGAGAATGTTGCGTTCCTATAAGTATGACATGTCGAGGATTCGTATCACCGTCGAGATTCTCCCCAAATCCCGTCAGATATTTCAATTCCGGCGTAGGAGATGATCTTCCCATTCGGAAGATGTCCAAAAGCAGAGGGTTGCCGTGCAAATTGCGCAAATCAACTACACGGGGTTTCCTCATGCATAAACAGGCCACCCTGAGCGTAATTGATTGCGACCACACGCATCGGATGCATCTCCTTTCGACCGACCGCACCTGTATGTACATAACCGGAATTGCCAACCGTTTCCTGTCGTTGGTTTCTTCACCCGTCTCGACCCCCCGTCAGCTGCAGAGCGAGTGGTTGAGGATGGAGGATAGCGGACGTGGGAGCGCGGAGTCAGGCAAGCCCCGTGCCGAGCGGCTGGCTGTTTGTTTGCGCTTGGCTACAGCACTGTCACCGTCTCCCGTCGCCTTCACGCCCATCGCAAATCTCCCCGAGCCCCCGCCAGCATCTATACCAGGCACACACGAGAACAAAGGAGACCCAAGCAATACCCGGGCCAGCAAGAAAACGGACGGAAGGATTGGAGGACGGATTGGAAGTCTTAATAATACAGCGTGGCGCACCGGACCCGGATGCCGCAGCGCACCAAGAGCCCGCTCAGCGTGAGCTCAAGCGGCAGTGGAGTGGCAAGCGCAAGCACGAGTACAAGTACAAGTATGAACAAACCCAGCAGCGCCGGTTCTCCGCGCCGCAGCGCTCGCTTTGCATCGCCCTCGTCTGCACCGCACGAGACCGCGACACCAAAGCCGCTCCGTGCTTCGCGTCGTCTTTCTGCTGTCACTACCGCTCGGGGGGAGGGCTGTGAAGATCGGCAAAAGGACGAAGAGATGCCCAGTACGACCAAGAAGCGCAAGAGCCCCGATCTGCACGACGAGGGGATCCGGAAGCGCTTGAGGCTTAGGGTGCGGTGTCCTGCCGAGGTGGGTGTCATTCATGTTCTTTTTCGTGTTCTTTTCGTCTTGTCCTTTGCTTTTTGCGCGTGGGGGGTTTCGTGGGGACTTTTTTGTTACGTCGCCGTTTTTGGCTTGGATGGGGCGGGGAGTGTGGACGGGGCCAGAGGAGAACGAGGAGAGGCAGGAGGCGAGGCAGCGGAGCGCGTGTCCGTTTGTGCGGCGCGCGCTTGTGCGCTTACGCCAGCGCCTCGTGGTGCGTGGTGCATGGTGTGGGCGCGCTCATTTATCTATTTTTCCTTCGTTTTTGTTCTCGCCGCCTTCATACGTTTTCTATTTGCCCCTCTTCGTGTGCGGACGATCGACGTCGACTCTTTCGCTCGACTCGATGCGAGTCATCGATTAGGCGCCGACGGCCCTTGGTCGTTTGGTGGCGGCGTACGAGGGCTTCGCTGCGAGCGAGTTTGGGACGGGGCGTGCGTCTGTTGCCTCTCGGACTCGCTGTCCTCTTCCTTTTTTCTCCTTTTTTTTCTTATTTTTTTCGGGCGCGTGACGTAGCCTCTTACTATGCTCGCGCTGGGCGGCTGACGGGGAGCGAGGCGCTCTCCTCCCTCCCCGTTCCTCTCCTCCCTTCCTTTCGTTTCAATCCTTCCCTCATTTCTTCATTTTTCTACATCGGCTTTCTCCCCCCCTCCTCCACAACGCTCGCTAACCTTTCCCCTCTATTCCCAGCCCCAGCCCACCCCCACCCGCAAGGGCAAGGGCAAGGCGCCCTCCCCGCCGTCCCTCGCTCTCGCGCGCGCGTCCCTCAAGTCAAAGTCCAAGTCCCCCGAAGACGACGACGCGCAGCTACGTACCCGCAAGAGCAGCAAAACGAGCGGCAAAAGTACTACAACGTCCCCCGCCGGTACGAGTAGAGAGGGAGGAGGAGGTGGTGGGAGGGTGACGCGGCGCACGACGCGCGCGCATCCGTTGGCGAATTCTGGGGGTGGTAGTGTACGTTTTCCTCTCATTCTCCCACAGTCCCCTTCCCTTGCCTTCCCGCCCGTCTTCCCTCCTTCCTCCTTCCAATAAGCACTAACGCCCCCCCCCCAGACCCTCACTAACGCAAACGCGAACCCCCCCGCCCCCGCGAGCAAGAAACCCACCTCCGCGCGCGGCGCCACCCCCACATTCCAGCGCGGCGGGTCCCCTGCGCCAGGGAGGCTGGACGAAATCGATATGGGCGTCGTCCAATCCTCGTCGCAGTCGCAGTCGTCGCCCAATTCCCCAATTCCCCCGAACTCGCCGATAAGCCTTAACCGCTCAAATTCGCCCATACACAGCTCTCCGCTGAGCTCGCCGGTGCGCGAGCGCGGGGAGGGGGTGGGCGCGCCGTGGGATACAGGGTTGGGCGTGGGGGCGGTGAAGGTGAAGGAGGAGGTATTGGAGGTGCGGCTATCGCACCCGCAGCCGATGGAGGGAGTGAGCGACAATGATGCGAAGGAAATGGAGGGGCCGGGCAAGGACGTGGAGATGCCGCTCAGTATGTTTTTCACCCTTTCGACTGAAGGAGATGAAGCTAATTGCTGCGTAGCTTCAAATGCGAGTGCGAGTGAGCCTGCGAGTCCGACGGATGGGGCCAGTTCGCCGACGGACGCGAGTGCGGGGACGGGTGCCAGTGCCAGCCAAAGCACGAGTACAGGGCCAGGGACGGGGACAAGCGCATTCACGCCCTCGCTTTCCCTAGACGACCTGGCGCCCTCCCCCTTTGCGCCGCCTGTGCTGCCCGCCCCGCAGGTGTGCGAGCTCTCGCCGCTCGCACCCGTCCCCGTGCCGCCGTGTCTTCCGGGCCTTCCTCCTCCGGGCAGCACCACCCCGCCCTTGGGCGTGCCGCCGAGCCCCACCCTCGACGGGATGGGCTTCGACGGCACCGCAAGCGGGTTCATTGGGTTTGCTGGGAACGGGTTGGGGCTCGGGAACGGCATCGCGCCGGGCCCGCCCGTCTCGCCCGACTGGCCGCTCCCGCATGCGCCCTTCCCGCTCTCCTCTTCGTCTTCCTCGCTGGCGCCATTATCTTCGCCGACCGCGGCCGCCTCCCCTTCCCCATATCTGGCGGCGACATACCCCTCCCCATCTCCAAGCTCGCCGCCGCTCCCGTCCCCCACGTCCCTGCACCTCCCCCCGTATCGCGGGTCTTCACCGTACGGCGCCCCCGCGCTCCCGACGCTGCCGCACCCGCCCTCGCCGGCGGAGCGGCACACGCGCGCGGTCGAGTGGGCGGCGCTGCTCGAGCGCCGG